TGAGGAAAGCAGTTTTAATATCCATTTGAAATAATTCCAAATCCAAATGGGCAAGCAGGGCTGGAAAGAGGCTAATAGAGGCAAATCTCATCACATGAGAAAAAGTCTCTTCATAATCTATACCTTCAATTTGGGTAAAATCTTTCGCTACTTTAAACTTTTCAATTGATCCATCTGCTCCATATTTTATCTTGAAAACCCACTTGTGTCTAATTAATCTATGCCAAGGTGAGAGATCAACTAGTTCCCAAACCTTATTTTTGTCATTGAGTCCATATCATCCCTAATGGTATCAATCCACTTTTTACTATTTAGTAAATTCATAGCCTCCTAAAAGGAGGTGGGTTCCTCAATTTCTAAAGGAATGCAAAGGAAAATTTTTCTTTTAATTTTAAAATATCGTCAAAAAAAATTTTCATGTTTACTCCTTCGAATTTTAGGACCTTCATCACCTGCCTTACTAGATGATAAATCTCTCATAATGTCCCTTATTGGCGTAGAATTTAGAACTTGAGAACTAACCTTATAGTCCAAGGATCTTGAGGACTAACTCCATTTTCTAGTGGGTTATCATTTGTAGGCAAGTTTCCACCATTTAGGAATAGGATCACTCTCATTATCTCTTTCATTTGGTTGAATATCACTATCCTTGGTGAATTAGTAGGTTCTCAATACCTCATTACCACCAATAGATAGTTGCATGTCTTCTTGTAACTCATACAATTCAAGATTCTCTTTTATTTTACAAATGCTTGGGAACTTATCCTCAAAAAAATCAACATTGTGAGAGTCAATTTCAGTCATGACATCATTCGAGTGTTCTCCAAATATTACTTATCATTTTGAATATTCGGGATACCTAATAAACACCATTTTGGTTGCTCTTAAACCTAGTTTTCTTTGCTTATGGGTTGGGTTATGCATATAACTTGCCAACCCCCAATAACATAAATGATCCAAAATGGGCTTCTTATCATTCCATAACTCATATAGAGTGATGGGTACACTTTTATTCGGTACACAGTTAAGAATGTAGGTTGCTCTAAGCAATGCATCTCCCCAAAAATTATTAGAAATGTTGGCATGTGCCATCATTGATCTAACCATGTCTTTATGCGATTCTTTCGCTCTACAACACCATTTTGTTACGGAGTATGGGGAATTATAAGTTGCCTACATATACCTTTTTTCTCATAATATTCTTTGAACATATCATAATGATGTTCACAACTACAATCGGCTCGAATAGTCTTCACTCTTTGATCCATTTAATTTTCCACTTCCGTTACAAAATATTTGAACATATCTAGTGCTTCATAGTGGTGAGATATTAGATACACATACCCATATCTTGAATAGTCATCTCTAAAAATGAGAAAATATATGACACCATGACATGCTTTAATATTTAAAGGTCCGCAAATATCATAATGGATTAATTCTAAGGGACTTGATGCCCTTAGAGCCTTACTAAAAGGTTTTTTACTCATTTTACCAACTAAGCATGACTCATATTTAGGTAACTTAATCTTAGTAAGTCAGTCCAAAAGACCTTCTTTAGACAATCTACTCATTCGATCTTGGACAATATGGCCAAGTCTTGCATGTCACTTAACAGATTCAGAATCATAATTAAAGTGAGAAACATAAGCAAACATATAATTATTATATATATTATCATCCAAGTTAAGAACAAAGAAATTTTTTCTTAAAGACCCATGATAAAAAACATCGACATGATATAAAATGTCTAAAGTATGAGGTTAAAGTTAAAAGAGATCCCAATCTCAACAAAGAAATAGTTGAAAGTAAATAGCATCGCACCCTGGATGCATAGAGAGTATCATGAGGAGTAAAATATTTTCTCCACGTAGCTTGAGCTGGTATATTTTGATTCTAAGGACGTCATCTTCATTGTCATTATCCAATACAACAGTTTGCAGA